ACAGATATTTTAAAAAATAATAATAACCTTGTGGTTTCTGGAATTCCCAGAGTTTCAGATAATCTGATATTTCTTTACATTTTGCTCAGTTAATTCAGGGTATGTACAATTCATAAAGAACAAATTAACTGGTTTTTTCATTTGTATTACAAGTCTGATTTTCTTTAGACAAAGAGAGACATCCTTTGGCCCAGTTTGTTCAATAATAAAATAGATCATAAAATTGTCTCTAAAATAATTTTTCTTGTCTCAACTTCATCTGCTTGCTGTATATCCTGGCCAGGTCTTGGTGAATTTTTTGTCCTGATTCTTACTACTCACTCTTTGTGCTTAGGTTTCTCTTTACCAACAGTACTGTCCATTTCACAAGATACGTTTAAAATTTTAGGTATGAATGTTCTTTTTAAAGAACTAGAAGAAAGTCACAATAGAAGAGGAAATGTTGCCTATGCTCAATGCCCTTCATTTCTCAAGTCCTCTCTTTCCTATTTCAAGCTCCCATCTTAGTTCTGACCAAATTATATTGCTTTCTTTTTTATTTGCCAAGAGTGGAGCTACTTCTTTGCAGTACCATATCATTTCAGATGCAGGATCTGAAACCATGCGGATGGGTTTGCCATTTAAAATTGAAGATTTAAAGTGTCTACTTCTTAGGTTTCCCCTACATTTGCCAAAGTTCTTGTCTCTTCCTCTCCTGTGATTTCTTTCTACTTTTTAAAAATCTTTGTTTTCCATTTTATTTTCATATTTAGGATAGCCTTCCACTGTCCTCTAATCAATATTTTCCCCAACTAGCCATCAAAAATCCATGTTAAAAAGAATTATAACTATGTATAGTGATGGATGACAATTAAACTGTGGTAATCATTTTGCAATATATACATATATCCAATCATGTTTTACACCTAAAATTAATACAGTGTTATATGTCAATAAAAAAGAAAGGGAAAATGGGAAACCAAAAAAATTTCAAGAATCTATGCCAAGGAAGCTTTCCAGATCTCCTAATTACTTGGCTATGATTGAGAAAGAAGAATAAATGATAGTGATTATAACTTCTTTCTGTTGTTATTTTTCATTTAAATATTCTTTTTCTCCTGGTGTATACCAGTGTAGATGGAAAATGTGCTGAAATTTATGCATTGTCTAATTATCCAGCTTTCTGGTTTGTTTACCTCTTAACAATGTTTAGTTCTATTATTTCTAATAGTATTGTTGTTACCACTTCTAAAAATGATTACAGGTTTTATTTTCCTTCTCAATTCTTATTCCTTACTTATAAACATTATAAATATTTATAAATGTTACTTTGAGGGACAAGAAAATTAAATTTCCCTCTTAAAGCAGAAGAACAGAAGAATCTTAATGGAGTACAAGAGAGGTCGCCAATTCTTTAACTACCATACTCTTCCTGCTCAGCTGGTTGTCCTGGATTTTCTTAGACTCCAGGATAAAGTTATGATCAAGATTAGAATGTACTGCCCTGAGGCTTCAGACCTACAGTGGAGCTGTGCTAGTTCAGCATTTGGCCAGTTGCAGTGAACACCCCTGACAAATTCCCCCTTGCACGCTGTCTCTGCTTGCCCCTTAATTTACCTATTAGTCAGCACATAGTTATCCCATCTTTGCATTTTTATTTTATTTGTAGTCAGGGCCTGAAATGAACTTTTGGGGGAGGGAGAGAAAACTTCATAATTAAAATTTTGGCCAGAACCAGAGACAATGCTGTGTAGCAAACTGTAGTTGGCAAAGTGACTGAACTGAACTTAACTTTAGCTCTGCCACTGAGTAGTTGGAATGATATGGGACAAAATCGTTTTCACCTTTCTAGGCTTTAAATTCCCTGTCTGTAAAATTGAGGGGCTGAAATATAATAGTGCATAGAATACCTGTGGTATGCACTTACATGTATTAGCCCTTTGAATCCTCATAACTTCATGTGAGAAGTACAGTACCTTCATTTTTCACATTTTACAGATATGGAAACTGAGGCTTAAAGTGTTCATATTTGCCAAGGTCATGCAGTTAGTAAGTAGCATAGCTGGAACTTGAACCCTAGAGTTCATGTGTTTCTAGCTCTAAAATTCTGTACATGTAAGAATGCCACAGATGAACAGAGCACCAATGTAGGCTTTGTATAAATGATTAATTTATTTTCAGAATAGACCAAGGCATGAAAATGATGAGTAGTATTCTCTGAGACTGATCCAGAATACATTATATCCTGCTAACTTCAAATTATCTGTATTACCTCTATTTCTCTCATTTGTGTTTCATTGACAAAGATATTTGTAAATCAGAATGTCTTTTTACTCAATATCTCCCTTTTAATGTAACAACCATTATTACCTTTCTCTTCATTTTATAATAATAGCCTGTGGTTTAGTTATTTAATACAGGAACCTGACATAAGAAACTGAAATGGCATGTGTTTAGCTGTCATTGCTCAAGTTAGTGTTCCTTGGAAGCAAATATTTTGAAGATTTTGCAATTTTGCTTTGAGGCCAGCCTTTGAAAGAAGTGTACATGTTCAAAGTACAGTCAGCTCTCAGTTATTTATGTTAATGATGGTACAGAAAATCCAATTGATTTATAATTGACTTCGGAACATAGTCAGAAGTACACCATTAGACAAATTCCTCTGTGTGCACAATTTTAGGGGTTTACCTCCTGTAATCCCAGCTCAGAGCCACCTTGACTTGGTTGGCTTTGTTGTTAGAAGCCTTGGACTCAAAGGAGAGAAGGAAGCTGCAGAATATTTTTAATGATAATTTTTCAAGTTAAGAAGATAACTCTTTTATAAGCATCCATCAAGCAGATTTGTATATGTAGTAGTTCCACACTATGTGTGGACTTCCAGCAAAAATTTTGGTAAGTTCAAATTCCTAAATCTCTGGTTAACAGATAACAAATGAGCTGTGCCCCTGGCTATTGCCCCCTAACAGGCTAGTATTCATTTAGCTGATTCTGAGAGTAGGCATTTCCTTGGTTTTTATAATAAAGTTGTGTGTGTGTTGTGTGTGTGTGTTAATTTTCTTTATCTAAAAATTAGCCATAGTTTACTTTTTCTATAATATTAAGGATATTCCTGGGGCTAATGGTTTTCCCTGTCTTTTAATAGAAAGCCTTTACATTTAAGTCACTGAAAAGTGTTTATTGCAATGTTCTTATGTTCTTTTATTTCTCTTAACTCGCTTTAAATTGCGAAGTACAGTAGAGGAAAAAGATATTATATAATGAGCAATATACTATTGTAACTGTCCAGAATTGGTAGCAAGGTATCATTATAGAAGAGACTGATAATGATGTTCCATTGAATTTATATAGTTATTTTTTCCAGGAAGCTTAAAATGGTTCACAAATATCTACAAGTCAATTTGATATTTACTCCATTTTACAGAAAAGGAAACATAATGGGGGAGAGCAAGCAAGTAAATAATCCAAGAACAAAGTTGCACAGAGATGGATCCAATCTACTTTGCAGGAGATAGATGAGTAATACAATTTTTAAGGTGTCTGAAAATGTGGATTTCTCAAGGATCAGTCCTATTGAGGGGGAATCCTAAAAAGCTGAAATGCTGTCAATGGCTGAGATATCTTTCATTTGGATCATGTTGCTCAATGTGATAATTCAATTAAAAAACTATTGGTGAAGCAGTTTGCCAACTTTATTCTCAAAAAGTTCTATGAGCTAATGCTCTAACCCTGCACTTGCTGTTCTTTTGAGAATTGTTATTAGGGTAAAAGCCAAATCTTTACAATGACCTGTAAGGCCCTTCACGATCTGGTCTAGCTCTTTTTAACCTCCTTCTCCTCTCATCTACTCTAGTAACTCTGACCTCCTTTTTGTCCTTCAGTTAAACCAGGCATATTCCTACCTGCACACATTCCTACATATACCCCAGGTATTTTCTTCTCTTAATATCTCAAATGTCACCCCCAAGTGTCAATCAAATATACTCTCTCCATGAGGCCTCCCCTAGATCCTCCTATTCTTAAAGACTATTCCTATTCCCGGGCTCATATTCTCCTTCCCTGTTTTGTTTTTTCTTTTCTTTATAAACTTACTGCCATGTGACATATTGTAATGTTTTGCTTTTGTAGGTGTCTGTGTCCCCTCAGTAGAATGTGAGCTCTGTGAAAGCAGAGACTGTTGTTTCATTAGTTCAGAGCTGTATTCTTGGGAATAGTGCCTTAATATATTTAGTGCCTTAGATAAAGTAGGTACTTAATAAATATTTACTGAATGAAAACAAAGAATTTTATGGTAGTGCTGAGTAACTCTGGCAGCTGGGAGATAACTCTAGGATGAAACTGATTTATTTATCTCATATTTTTAAGTATATCATGAAGTCAATTATTATGAGTGCTTTAGGTTTGACATAACATGCTCTAATCCTTTGCTCCTCTGACTACTGAGAGCATAGTGTCTCCTTGATTGTTATTTCCAAATTGTAAACATGGCTATAATCAATATGTTTGAGATGCTACTTTAATAGACTTTTTATATAGCATTTATTTAAACAGATAGCTCAACCCCTGCTTTTTTAGGAAATTCTGGTTTTCTATGAAAGATTTATTGGAGTAGTGGCGATACATCTATGATTATAAGATACTAGCATATATTCAAAGGACCTCACCTTCTTAGTCCTTAAACTTGTGATTCTCAGCTCTGCTTTTAAGATGCCCTACCATAGTGGTTTTTCATTTTTTTAAAAAAATCACAGGCCTCTTTCGGAATGTGATGAAAGTTATTGACCATATGTACTGAGCATACAATCTGCATAAAATATCAGTGAGTTGAGAGGGTCTGAGACACATGTAGGGATCTAAGGACTCCAGATTAATGGTTGCTATCCGAGTATATTCCCAATATTTTCAAGAAATGAAACTAAATTCTCAAAATGAATTTACCTCAGTTTACTTAAATAAAAAAGTATTTGTATACATTACTTAGAGTCAGACACTATTATGATACAATTATAAGAAGGCTGACCTGACCGAAGATGGCCTTAGGTGTAAGAATTGGTGTCTGATAAAGATCTGGTTCTGCGTAGTAAAGGAACAGTGCTCTCCAAGTACTAAGTGAAGCTGTGCATCAATGGGGAAATGCTCACAACTGTTCATCCTGGTGGTTCCACTGAAAGGCCTGTAAGAATAAAGGATATTTTACTTATTTGTTTTGATATAAGTAGAACAATTGTGATTCCCTGTGTCTATTTGCTTACTAAATTCAGAGAACAGAGGCTGTAAAACTAACTTTGGTTACTTTAATCTTGTTGGTTTCTATCCTTTAAGCTCCATTGCTTTCCCTAGGGTAGGATTCCTTTGGCCCTTTAATTTTTGTTTGGTATAATAGAAAACTTTGTACCTTTTTTTTAAAGGCTTATTGTTGCTTTCTTATTTGTTTTAAAATAAAACAGATAAGCTGTTTTACATACTCTTATTTCTCTCTGGGTTTTAAATGTAACTGTTCATGAATACCTTTTGCTTTGTTTTGTTTGATACTTTTTAATATGTTAGAATTTGTGTTTAATTTGCAAATCCAGAAGCACCAAAATAGTCAAAATTACTTAAGTTAGGTTTTTAAAAATTGTAAACACAAAGGCTCACATTTTTTCTGGAGATAGGAAATTAGAGTATTTAGAAATACTAACCCCCAAATCTGAAGTAGTGATAGTTGTTCAAGATGACAACATAACTATCTTCAAAACCACTGGTTTTTAAAAAATTCTAGGATATTTCTGTTATGATGGAAATCAACCGTCATACAACTATAATTTTAAGTAGCACATTCAGTTATCATATTCCTATAAATTTTGTGCCTGCTAATATATCAAAAGGGTACTACTGTGCATATATAAATGTGAGATAATTGAGAAATTGTTGCTATTGTTATTTCTGTAGAATAATTTGGATGAGACTGAAGGCCTTATGCTTTATGTCTACTAATCTTGCTATTTCCTAAAAAATGTTTATAGATTCTCATTCTTTTTCCCTAAAACCATTTTTTACTTAAAAAATTCTTTTACATTATTCAGATTTCATATTCTTTCAGTTTTATATCTTCTGCTTAGAATCATATTGGTTATCTGACTTTAAAATTCTTATGGCCGATTATTTTTTAACTTGGTGAAGGACTTTATTGGCCCTCTGCCAGGAGTAAGTCCTATTCACTTTTCCATTCTTAAGGTAATATGCAGTTTTGTGGGGAGGGCAGAGCAGCAGGCTGTTAGAAATATAATTATCAAATTTAAAGCTAGAAAGAACACCTAATTCAATCATTTCACTTTACAGATGAAGAGATAGACCCAGAGAGATAAGCGGGTTGCCAGTCAAAGAGCTGCCAATCTACTACTGTATGTTACTGGTTGGCATTTTTAGCAAACATTATTTATTTATTTATTTAAAACTTTTTTGGGGTCATTGCAGAGCAATTAAAAAGCAGGTGTTGGCAGAGATTTTCCCCCGAACATTCCATTAAAAAGATATTGTAGATTGCCCTAGGGTCTCTTTCCTCTTTGATTCCTAGTCAACTAGAAGGCATACTTTAAATGAGTGAACAAACAAAAAATACCTTGCTGCAACTTTGTATTAATTTACATGGTGCATGTGTCTGTCATTTATTCTGCTATAGAATCACTGCACAACAGATAGCCTGTTGTCTAGATCATCTCCTCAAAGCAATAGAGGCTCTTTATAAAGTCTAGGCCAACAACCTTACTGAGACTCAGGGCTGCACTGGATTGTCTTGGTGTCTTATAATGTGGGTTCCTCCTATTGTGTACCAAATGCTGTGGCAGGCCCTATAGGAATACAGCAAACAACACCCTTACCTAGTCCAACGAGGAAAACAGCAGAAAGCTGTATGTGATGAATGCCAAATGAGAGGTGCAGTCATAAATGCATTAGAATGCCTTTTCATTTTTTTCAGTAGTCATTCAAATGACTGGTAATTCTGTCTCAAGATCCCCTATGACTGAAGAAAAACAAACATAACATTTAACTTGGGCAACTTCAAGCAGCTTAAAGCTAAAGCACAACTACAACCCAAGCAGTTATACCTTCTCATTTTCACTGTTATCAGTTAAATGTAGGTTATAGTATTACCTGTATAAATATTCCTGCATGTATAGTACTCATCTATAGCATTTTATTTAGAAGTCCTAATAACTAAACACCAGGACTTTCTTTTCAAATTGCAAGCTGACTTTTTTAAATGTGCAAGATGTTCCTATTAAATTGTAGTAAAATTAAAACAAAATTCAGCTTTAAATGGAATTCAGCATATTGGGAGTTCTGTTTGAACTGATAGTGCACTAGTTCAGTTTTAATTCTTCACATACTGCGTAAAGGAAGAAATAAACTTTAAATGGTGAAGGGCATTTGAATATCATCTCAATTCAGCAAAGTTTGTTTCTAATGCAAAGGGTTTTTATTTTTATTATTGACTTTCGTCATTAGTATCTGTTATTCCCATTCTCTAAAGTATGTTGATTTTAGTAGACTATGAGGGATACAGACACTGACTGTAGAAGATTATATATATCTGCTGTGACATTAGGTTATTACCTGCTCTGAAGTTAACAAACTATATGCTCCACATCATATATTTTTATCATCATTAGAGATTATTTGAAATTTAGTTGTCCCTCTATGGATATATGAAAAGTCCATAGGTGCCTTATGACCATTTGAAAAGTAAAAGCAGGTCACTTTCATCTGTTGGGGTAGGGTTGGTGGTATAACTAAATAATCTTTAAGCTCTTTTACAGCCCTAAACATTTAGGATTTAGGCTTATTCTGGAAATAGACTTATTACACTAAAGGGACATTTAATTTGCTTATTTACTTCTTTTCCCTGAGATGAAATTTATTTAAAAAATATGACCAAATTACTTAAAGTCACACGACAAACTGATAGCAACACTAAGCATCAGACTCAGTTGTGCTCCTAGTCCTCTGGTCCTGTGCTGTCCTTACATTCAGTTAACACAAATGAAAAGGAGTTTTTCCTCTGATATTTTAAAATATCAGTAGTGGATTGAGGACCCATATTCTAAATCCTTCATCAAGTTTGTCCCAGTGGCCAACCCACACTGACTTTAATCATGAACCTACATCTAGATACATCTGCACCTTTGGAAGAGCTTGAAAAGCCAGAGATAACCTAGAGCCAGTGTGGGTCTTAGAGGTAAAAGGAGAATGATGCATCTGATCTGAAAATACTTTGCGAAGTTGAATTATTAGAGATAAGATGAGTAACACTAGAAATAAGATTTCAGAACAGCTGGTAGGTGTTCATGTGTGGAGCTGGGGGATAGAACTCTGGCATGTAAGCATCTGGAGGCATCTGGGAGAAGTGGAAATGGAGCTATCTGATTAGTTACTATGCCTTGTTATTAAAGTATGACTTTCTGCATTGTATATCCCAGAGTTGGAAAACTTCCGCTGGCAAAAAAAGACAAGGGCTGCCGTGCTGTTGCCGAGGGCCATATCATAGACACAAAAGCGCCTTCCGAGAGGCCTGCAGCAGAGGCAACTAGTACAGGCAGGCCCGCTCCTCTCAAAAACTGAGAATCTGATTCTTCCCCCAGGGGGTTTCCAACTAGTTTGCACTTCAGAAAAATCTTTTCTTTCTCCTGCTGTTCACGCCCTGCAAAGAATTTTCTTCCAACCAAAGAAATTGTTTTCTAATCAAAAGATCCTTGTCCTTAGTTGTTGGACATCAAAGAAAGTTTGGAGGAGACTGGGGGATTACGTGAGTGCTTAGAATTTATTTTGAATGCAAAATTGTAACATTAGCAGTTCCCCCAAAGAATATATTAATCTCAGAGCTGGGAGAGAGCTTGATCTAACTCTCTGTTCTTCCTTGGTGGGGTGTACCCCCAGTAAGATACAAATGAGCTGAGTACCTCTCTCTGGCTTAACTCTTTTATGTTTGGTTCCTCAGTTTCTTACTAAAAAATGAACCCTTATACTCTACCTGTCCTTTTAAAACCTCATACTGAGAAATATCAAAATCTATAGATAAACTTGAAACAACAACAAAAACCTTTTTAACCTTCAGTACTTCAACTGTTGGGAATTTGGGGTTCCTCCCAGGGCAGTTGATGATTTCACCCATGTTGGGACCCACATTCCCTGCATTCCCTACTGTTGCAGAGGTGTGTTGATGATGTCATTTTCTTCCATAATGGAAAACCTCAGCACCCTGAGGGCCTGAACTCAGGTCTTGGCAGGTAGAAGGAGGAGCTTACTTTTGGATTTCAACTGTTTAATTGAGTCAGGCAAAAAGAGGCACAACCATAAATACTAGCTTCATAGCCTCATCTCCGGGGCCTGAATAGACCATTTATTACTTGGGAGAATTAAGACTATAACTTGAAGAAATTAATTTCTGGGTAAGAGCAACGATTCATTTAATATCTTGGTTCTTACACTGAGGACATTTATAGGGCATTGTTCTCAGAGATTATGGCATCTTCTTAAATATCCTTCACTGAATCCATGAGTTCTCCAAGCTTTTCGGGAAGCCACTTGTAGATTATCTAATTTACCTTCCTAGAACAAAAACATGTATTTGAAAAAATAAAGTGAGGGAGAGGATAGATTTAGGCAGAGTTATGCCCTGGGCAGAGTACAGTCTTGCTCTTTTCACCTTGGTTCTGCGGTTAGGCACAGAAGAGAGTCTTTGCTCTAGAAAACTTCCAGTCTCTTCCAATCCCTTCATCGCAGCCACAATATAATGGTTGGAAACAGAATTCCACCAAAAAGGCTCCGATGGTGGCAGCTATAGTACTCCCACAAGGATTCTTTGAGCTCTCCTCGGAGCCTTATTATGGTGTCCTTGTGGTCAGGAGCCTACATCATCAATTAGAAAGGCTTGCCCTGAAGACAAATCTGGTAAACATGTCAGTTGTCTTATCTTTGCCACCAGAACAATCCTTCCTATTATTTTGCTCTCTTCTGAGCTAACATGCCGTAGTTTTTTAGAATCATCAACTGACCATTCTCACAAAATTTTAAATACACTAGTTTGTGCTAGGACGGTAAGTCAGGATGTGGGGGTAGGCAGCATTTGCCAAATGTTTTTATTCCACTTAGCAGTGCTAATTTGCCTGGGTTACCCCTATGCAGGTATTAGATTACAGTTTGTTTGTTTCACCCTAAGAATATATGGGTAAAATTCACAGAAATGTAAGAATATCCCTTTAATTTATATATAGGGGAATAAGGACTTGAACTATAAAGGACGAGCTCAATCTGCAGCTGACCTTTCATATTTGTAATCTTTTTTCTTGACTTGATGTATATACTTGAACCAAATTAATGTTGTTGTATAAAATGCCCTAGTTTTTCAAGCAATATCAATCTTCAAGGTATTGAACAGGACTTGGCATTTTGTTTCCATGTTTAATTGTTTTGTTTTCTAAAGGGAAGTTTGAGTTGGTGCCTATCTGGCAGGATTCCATACTTCTACCAAACCACCTGTCCTGGAAGAGACAATGGAATCAAAAGTCAAGTTCTTTTGACTGCACCTGCCTTGTAAGCACTGCCAGAAGATTGGATTTTTCTTCTGTAGCCAAACTCTACCCAGAAACTATAGTACTTGGCACCCAAGCAGTGGGGGCATGCACGCCAAAACTTGGATATCCCAGTTTCAGAAGGACTAATGCTCTTTCTTCCACTGACTTACAAGGTAGTTTTTTTATATCATATTCAGTAATTATTTTACTGCATATCAAATGGAGGAGATGTAACTTTCTGATTCACTGGGTTTTCAATATTTCATCTATCCAATGTGATGAATCATTTGGCAGTTTGTTATTTGAAAATTGCCTTGTGCCTTATGCACGTAGTAAGGAGAGGATGATCTACCCAAAAGAAATCAGGAACATACCCGCCAAGTCAGAACACCAGGCAGTGTTTCCAGGAGTGAGAAGCAACCATGTGCACCTTGTTTTCTCCTTTCCCCAGAAACGTGAGTTACGGGCCAACAGTTGAATGCTGGTTAGGCAGTTGTTTTGGAGGCAATCTAATTTCCTTGCTGAGGACTTTTTTTCCTTTTGAATTATCAGTGTTTCTTGCATTCCCTTAGGGTAGAGTTACTTTATTAACTTCTAACTTTATATGTAATTGGAGGCCTTCTGGCCTAACAACATAATTCCTATCACCAATCAGATAATTGAAGATAATATGCCCACCAATAGTACTCTTTGAGCAGTATCCACATATAATGATATAATATGATAATAAGACATAAAGGGCATTCTAAAATGAGTGGCAACATTCTACAGTGAAAAGAGCTCTCAGTAGTCTTGTGTTTTAATCTCAGCACTGATCCTTCTTAGTTTTATGACCTTAAGGAAAATTGCTTAACCCCTTGAGCCTGTGTCCTCATAAGTAAAATGGGGATGATAATAATAGACTGCCTACCTGAAATGAAATAAGGTATGAGAATTATTTTTGAATTATTATTAAATAATTAGGTTTGAGTTCTTTCTTATTCACCTAATTACTGTAAAAAATATTAAGTTAGTAGGTTATTGATTTAGGCTCAGTTAACCTATTTGAATTCAATTTGGCATTATCCTAAAACAGCTAAGCAAAATTATTTGTACTTTTCTGTAGCTAAAAAGACAAAGATTTAGAATCAAAATCAGTAGGCAAAAAGGCTGCTTAAATAGTACCGTAATATAGTAACTGGTAGCCTTCATGGCTCAGAGAATGACTAATAGTGTATAGATTCTGGGTGGGAACTTAAGTACTATTACTGCCTCGCTTGGTGAATCACTTGCTCTCCTCCCTGGACCTTTGTACATGTGGCTGTTATGTTCTACCTTGGTAAGCCCATTAGCTTTCTTTCATGATCAACGAGGTGATCACTGATAGAACACAAAGCAGCTATTTCGATGTTTTTTACTTCTCTGAGTCAGAGATTTCCTAGAACCATGCTACACAAGACTCTTACATTTC